TATTAATAAAAAAAAATTAATAATTAAAAATATTATAAACAATTAAATAAGCAGCTAATAAACTCAAAATAATAATAAATAGTATATATTAAATTATTTGCATAGATAATAATAATTACCATAGCCTGAGCAATTAGTTGAATAACAAGTAAGAAATATATGATAAACATTTTCTTAATTGTAATAGATAATTTTAATAAATATTAACAGTACACGAAAGCTATTTAAAACACGAAGCTTTCAAAGCTCATTTTACACAATTTATATATGATTAGCAATTTCACGGAGATTCCACATAAATTATATATATTTATAAGTAAGAGGACATACTTTCCAGTATCTGTAAAGCGAGGTACTTAAAAAGTCTTGCAAGCACTATCAATTCCAATATTTACTTCATTTAAGCCAAAAACCTTTGAAAATACGTTGAAGTTAGAATAATAATAATTAAAACTTGAGAAACTAAAGGAAATAAATATATATATGGTGAATATCACTTAAAGCTGTAATAAAAGTAAGAGCTGATTTTTTGCTTGCTTCGAATAGGTTTTTCAAATTATCTATATGTATAAACTTCTTGATTTAAGCTGAAGCTTAACATAGACAAACAATATATTACAAAGCATTAGGTAAATAAAGCTTTAATGTGCTTTCAATGCGTTGCAGTTGCTTTTAAAGCGACATTTTAAAGCTCACTCATTTTATGTAAGTACTTTGCGTACTTCCAGTGCTTGGCCTAAGCAATGTTAAGTTTAATACGCTTTAGTGTTTTAAGGAAAAGAAACTCTTTCTAGTGCTTTACCAAAACTCAATGTGCTTTGAAAGCTTTCATGTGATTCGTGTTTGTTAATCCCTGATAATTTTGTTTATTTAGAGTAGCGCATTTCGCATTGTGTCCATGGCCGCAACAACTCAAAGAAGAAGGCCAACTTGAGCTGACGACTTGACCGCATAGTCAAAGCCATTTAAACCAGTTCAACTGCAGAAACGCTTTAGCCTGCAGCCTGAAGCCGGTTAGCCAGGCAGCCAGGCAGTCGGGCAGCCAGAGCTCTCTTTGTTGATGCTGTTACACCCATTGATGCAACAGCAGCTGCGTTTCCGTGGCAATAAATGCGCCAGCTTCCTTTTAGGCTATCACAAACTTGTTTCCAGCATGCATCAACTTCAACTCCAGCTGTATCTGGATCTGGACTAGCTGCTGCTCGCGCTGCTGCGCTGATTTAGTTTTGTCTACCCACTGGCATGGCAATTGCATAATGCGCTTTCCATGCGGACTCACGCATCGCACTTCCTGGCATGTGCGCATGCAGTCAGTGCTCACTGTATAGCTGCGATTGGGTGAGCTAATTAGTTGCCAGGCGGATAGACAGAGAAGGAGAGAGAGACAGACAGACAGGAGACAGGCAGCCAGCCAAATGGCCGCCTTTTTTGGACAACTCGCATATATGTATGTATGTGTGTAGTTTTATGTCCAGCAAATAAAAAAGCAAACTATTCATCATGAAATTCCATTTGGTGATTATGAAATGACATTAAATATAATGACAAGCCAAACATTAGCGCGATTCGATTTGCGCAACTGCAGGCCCTCATTTTAATTATGTGACGAGTTCATGCAAGTTTTCGCAACACATTTCGATTCGTAATTCTCGGTAAATTGCCAAACGTATTCAAATAGTATATGTGTCTATGTGTCACCTTTCATTATAATTTGATGCTTTTCACAATTGCGCTCAATTTTCCTTTGTTCCACTATTTTCACTCGTTTCTAGTCGCTTCTCTGCGTTCACTGGCATTTAAAGCGATCCTGTCTGATTGGCCTCAGTATGCCCATCTCGCTCACACTCAGCCACAGTCCAAACTCTGGACAAATTTCGGCTCAGCAGCTAGCGTTGTCTCGCTCTCGCTCTCTCACTGAGTGACAATTGGAGGATATGAAACGCAAATGAATAGCGCTTAGCTAAGACGCAAACCCAATCGCATAATATTTGTACAACAACAGTGAGTCAATAATAGCTTCATTCAGCAGCAACTGCTGTGAAAACGAATAAAACTTATATACTAAATTAATATACATATGTATATATTTATTTTACAAGATGAATAAGAATTCAAAGAAACAAGTAAGAAGGCTCCAGTCGAGACTGCTCGACTGACCCTGACCCTGAACCCTCCAAGCTAATATTCTAATAATTCTGGACTTATTTTATGCATACACATGCACGCGCTCTGCTGACTGCGCAGTTAGCAGCGGCTGCGCTTGGGCTGCGCTGCAATGTGAGGAATATTATGAGAATTTATTTCTTGAATAATTT